AGGCGCCCATCCGCGGAACTGGTCGGGCCGGCCGGGATTTGGGGGATAGGTTTGCGGGGTGGGGCCTAGTAGGTTGCTGGGCCGGCTTCGGGGGAGCCGGAAGGGTAGGCGACTAGTTAGAGCCAGAGGAGCCATGGAGAGGGCTCGCAAGTTCTCAGGCTCCGGCTTGGCCCTGGGCTTGGGCTCGGCCTCGGCCTCGGCCTGGAGGAGGGCTTCGCAGAGGTGGGCCTGGCCTCTTCGTTCCTTGCGGCCTGGAGGGGATGCCAGGTAGGAGTGGAGGAGCCAGAGCATCCAGGACTGGGGAGGGAGCCTCCCTTGCACCTGAGACTGGGAGCGAAGGAGGAGGAGTCTGGTTTGGGGCTCCTCCAGGGAAGATGCTTATACAAGTGAAGGGGGTGGGACAGTGTGCTGGGAGTCGGTTGTATGGATGTACATGTGGGGCTGTTTGCTATCACTTGGTGATTCCATAACCATATAGAGAGAGGACTTCTTCAGATGTGGTTGGTTTTAGTTGGAGTTTTCATAAGCTTGTCTCCTCCCTTGAGTTCAGCCCCAAGCACCTTTTGGAGATGGGATTTTTGCCTCCTTTGTCTCTGTCTCCCACCTCACCTCGTAGGGGTGTACCTAGTGGTAGCTGTTGAGTACATATGTTGTTGGGGAAGGTAGGGAGGGTCATAGCTGGTGGGTGGAATTTTGACACTGCAGAGGAGCAGGTGAAAAATAAGTATGTTGTGCAACCAACCCAGGGTGATCCCACTAACCCTGACAGGTTCCTCTTGTGGTTCAGGGCCTGTCACACTGGTGGATAGGATAGCAGACTACGGAAGGAAGAGGATCAGTGAGTGGGCTCTGGGATTTGGGCTCTAGAGTTCAGGATAGGTGTGTGTTGATTTGAGAGAGTAGTAGGCTGTCCATTGGGAAGTTGACTAGGAGGCCTCAGGAAGAAGGAGGGAAGAGGAACTGAAACTTGGCACCTGACACAAAACAGCAGCCAAGCAGGTTTCAGGAGAAGAAAGGAGGAACAGGCTATCATGCACAGAGACACAAGTCCTTAGTCCCTATAGCAAGTATGTGTCTTTGTTCCAGGCTGGACCTCACAGGGGCAATAGTTTCTATATCCCCTTGTCCTGACCTCTCCTGTCATATTTCCACTCATTTTCCATCAGAGAGCCCCGCAAGATCATCCTGCACAAAGGCTCCACAGGCCTGGGCTTCAACATCGTAGGAGGAGAGGATGGAGAAGGCATTTTTGTCTCCTTCATCCTGGCAGGAGGCCCAGCCGACCTGAGTGGGGAGCTGCGCAGGGGAGACCGGATCTTATCGGTGAGACAAAGGCGAGGTGGGAGGATGCGAGCTGTGCCAATCTAAAGGGAGGAGGGAAGACCTTGCTTCCCCCAAAGCATGCTTCTTCAGATGAGGGAAGGCTAAGAACTGGAGAAACATATATTGTCTTTATAGATACCCTCAGTGAGAGTTAGGAAACCAGACTTATTCCTGAGGAGATGTTCCTTGGATTTGGAGAGGGTACAGGGGATGGAACTCAGGGGTACTCTACCATTGAGCTACATTCTCACCCTTTTAAAAATGTTTTTTAAATTTGAGAGTGTACCCAGGAACAACTTGAACGTGTGATCTTCCTGCCTCAGCTTTCCAAATGCTGGGATTACAGGCCTGTGCTACCACACCCAGCTGTTTCTTGGATATTAACCCTGACTGGCATTTAACTTCCACAGAGATAATTATTACATTAAACATGCCATACCCTTTAGGTCTCATTTTGGGGGCAAGGATGGAATTCTGGGAAAGACATTTAAAAGTCTGAGAGATGGGCTAACCCATCTCCATTTCTTGTTAGTACAGAGGACTCCCTTTCTTGCTTTGGGGTTGACTCATAGCCTCTCTCTCTGGACAGGTGAATGGGGTGAACCTGAGGAATGCAACTCATGAGCAGGCTGCAGCTGCTCTGAAACGGGCTGGCCAGGCAGTCACCATTGTGGCCCAGTACAGACCTGAAGGTAGGTGAAAGGAAGGTGGGAAGAAATAATGGTAGGGTAAATTCAGTTTATACTGAGAATTGGCTTTTTCCCCATCTTAGGTAGTGTATGTAGCCAGTTGACCAGGTCCCTGCTATTCTAGTACAGTAACCTCTTCATCTTTCCTTTTGCTGCTGGACAGGTGTTGGTTTGGTGGCTTGGGAGCACCTAGGAATGCTGTGCTCAGAGCTTGCTGATGAATATTGCAGTGCAGCAGAAGATCAGTAGTGGGCAGCAGCCTACACGGGAAGAAGTATGGAGATTAGGGTGACTGGAAAAAGGAGAGGGAAGACTAAAGGCTTGGAGGGGAAGACCAGGAACTCTGTGCCCTGGAACTGGAGAACATTTCTCAGTTAGAAGGATATGGGGTGGGGGAAGAGATTCGACTTAAGAGATCTTGGGCCAAACACTTGATTCTCATTTTCCTCCCCTGATCAACATGACTGTGAGAGACCCAGGAACGCATGGAAAGGTGATACTGTGCCTTTGGAGAAGGCGATGGAGCAGCGGACCCTCTCCTACCGAGGTCCTTCTTTGTGTTTTCAGCTAGCAGTCCCCGGGCCGGGGCGAGTGGGCGGGGCCCGGGTCTGTTAATGAAGGCGTTTGATTGGCTGCTACCCGCCAAAGGCCAGGTGCCGAGGTGAGCAGCGGGAGAGCGCACGGCAGCCTGCAGGCCGGCCGAGTGACCAATAGCCGGTGGAGCGCGGCCTCCTACCGCTCACCCCGCCCCCTAACAGGCGGAGGGCGGCGGGAGCCCCTCCTTTCTCCCCTCTCGCGCGCCTCAGGCGTCTCCTCCTCTTCCCTGCCCTCCACTCCCCTCCCCCTTCTGCTCCCTCCTCCCTTCCCCTCCTCCCGCGCGCCCCGCTTTGTGTCCGTGGTCTCCCGCGCGGGACGGAGGGGCTGGCTGGAGCTGGCGCTTTCTCTGCGTTAGATCGGGACTCCGACTCGGCGCCAGGTGAGATGGGGCGGACAGGGTCAGGCCCCCCTACAGTCTCCCCTAGCCTTTCTCTACAGTTCTGTTCTCAGACTTCCAGCACTGTGCCTCCAACTTTGCCCTCTCCCCCGAGGGCTTTCGTCGAGTATCCCCAGACCCTTCTGATCTGGGTCACTTGCATCCTTCTTTCCCATTACCTCAGACCAACAAGCTCTCCTGTTAGTTACCTCCCTACATTCTGTCCTCCATCAAAGAAGTCTCAAGCCAAAGGTGGCAGGCCCTCGCTTCTTTCCCTCCGCGCTGAGGGGATCCAGAACGATCTCCAGGCATCGTTGCACCAGGCTGCTCCGTCCACTGGGCCCTGTCTGGCCTTGACCTCTTTGCCATTACTTGCCACACACAAATTGTGCCCCCTTCGCGCCCCAGAGCCACAGTCCTGGCCCCATTCACCTTTCTGCCAGCTGCTGGGCCCTCAGTAGCACCCAGATAAATTTCCCAGGGGAATATGGGGAATTTTCTGTTCCCCCCACCATATCTCCACCTAACCTCGAGGAGGAACACCCACATTGGCTTGGTATTTTTGTGCCTCTTCCCTTTTGTTCTTTCTTCTCCCCTCCCCTTTTCAAGCTTGGCCTTTGTCCCTTAGGGCTGCTGTACCTATGCTCATTGGACGCCTAGGCCTTGTGGGTCAGTTACTAAAGTGGAGGAAGGGACTGCCCCTGGCAGGTGCTCTAATTCCGAGAGGAGCAGGGGAGAGAACTCGAAAGCACCCACATTTGTCCTCTTGGTCCCCCTCCCCTGTGCTTTTCCTGGGTCCTCAGAGCACGGAGGGAAAGAAGAAGAGAGAGCCTGCCACCTTTGGCTTGAGACTTTGATGGAGGACAGAATGTAGGGATGTAACTAACAGGAGAGCTTATTGGTCTGAGGTAGTGGGAAAGAAGGATGTAGATGGACACTTTGAGTCATTTCTCTCCATGTTTGGCGTTTGGATTACTGACAAGGAAAGCACCTTAGGGTTATTGTTTTTATGATTTCTGTGTGTGCTGTTTAATTCTCAATAGAGGGCTGTCGGATGTTTATTAGCAACTGATATTTATCCATTGCATGCCCACAATTTAGACAGTGCAGGTTCTGCAAAGGAAATGGTTTCTCTTGCATATTTGTGTGTGTGTGTGTGTGTGTGTGTGTGTGTGTGAAATTGTGTTTCTTTCGGTTTTGTTCTCCGATGCTGGGCACATGAAAGCAATACTCTGAATTTGCCTGATTAGTGGTATGTTGGAAACTGGTGGCTACATAATTCTGTGACTTGTTGGGAGAATGCCACTGATTTGCTTAAAAAACTGTAAGTTGTCCAGGTTAAAGGGATTCCTGCCATGTTTATTGCTCTCTGAGCATTGTTTTGAGAGTTTATATTGTAGGTTGAGGTGCTGTGTTGTGTCAGTCTACCATTTGCTACACAAGGTCTGTCTTCTCTTGGGATTTACTTGCATCATGTTAAGACATCCCAATCTTATTTTTTTTTTTTCGTTTGGTTTACTAAATACAGAAGAGCCCCAACATGCAACAGCTTTTTTAAAAAATTTGAAAATGAGCCTTTAGAGACTTGTCTAAAGAGACTATCAAGAATTCCATATTAGGCTCTGAATTTTCTTTCATAAAGTGCTAGTTTTTAAATATAAGGTCTCCATGTCGATCATTTTATGATTACATTAAATATAATTCTTTGGAGGATTGATTGCATCATGGTGGGTATTTATAAAATGAATAAAACAAATATGTCTCTGTTTGCAAAAATGGCAGACTTTGCATATTATTGGCCAATTATATGCTCATTATTTGGATTTTTCACATAGAATGTGAGAGCCGGAAAGGATTGTGTAGTCCACCTACTGAATGTGCAGACTGGACAGCCCAGTGGAGAGTCAGGACATGACTTGCCTAAGGTCGTGGAGGGAAAGTTGCTGAGGGTCAGCAAGCCATTCAGTCTTGAGGTCTACTAGTTGGAACACATCATGGTTCTAACCTGAGAGAGACCTAAGGCCTAATTGAGAGTAGAAAAACAACAGGAAAAGAGATTGTGGAAATAACAGAAAGACAGATTAGGGAAGGAATGAGGGAAAGCTGTGGAAGAAAAGGGCCTATGCACTGAGACATCATTGCCAAACCAGTGTGCTTTTAGCTGAATAACCTGTAGCTTAAGGGCTTAAAATAGCTTTGACTAATAAGGACAATCCAAGTAAGAGCACTCCCCTATTTTAAACAACTTTAATGACGTATGCCATATACTGTACAATTCCCCCATTTAAGACTACAATTCAGTGATACAAAGTTGTGCCTCTATCACTACAATTTTTTTTTTTTTGAGACAGGATCTTGCTATGTAGCTCAGGCTGGCCTCGAACTCAAGGTGATCTCCCTGCCTCAGCCTCCCAAGTGCTGGGATTACAGGCATTAACCACTACACCTGACTTATCACTACAATTTTAAACATTTTCACTACTCCTCTCCTTTTAATACATAAAGAAGGTTCACCCATTGGAAGGGTGATAGGTGAAAACCATTTGCTTCTTAATGTAACTCCCCTGGACACACAGGGGCAAGATGGCAACTTGGGAAGGCTCTAACCTTGAGAATTCTTTCATATATCTAGTTCAATTCTGTGTTAAACCCATCATGATGCATAGTATCTATTTGACGTTTGTATTATACCTAGCTTGGGAACTTCACATGTATTTTCATGATGAAGCTTTGGAAAATATTAAAATAAAAATGGAAATAATAAGGTACCACAATGGAAGATGCTGTTTGTTTCATTCCTACTGCTCCAAACTGTTGTGGACACAACAATCCTTCATAGGAGCTAAAAATAGCATGATGTTCTTAGGCATATAAAATTTTGCTTAAAATTCAAATTGAAAATTTAAACAATTGGCTTTTGGCAAGGAGTTTCTTCCAATCTATGCTAAAATGAAAAATATTTTTCTGTGAGTTGTGGAATTGCTCCCCAAGGGAAGGAAGGGCTTGGTGTTATAACATTTTGATATCACCTACATTTCCCCCTATGCATCGGCCTCTGCTTGTGAACTGAGTTAATATATTTCTGGAAAGCCTTTTTGTTATTAAGAGTAGAACCTGATCTCCAAATTAGGAGATTAGTCAGAAATTGGTCACTGTGGTAGCTAAATTGGAAACTAATCCTTTCTTTCTTTTATTTTTGTGGAAATGGAGATTGAACTCCCGACCTTGAGCTTGCAATGCAGGCGCGCTGCCCCTGAGCTAAATACCCGGTGGCGAAACTAATCCTTTCTGACCAGTCTTTTCAACTGGAATATAAATCCAGACAGGGTAGGGGTACACCGAGTGAGAGAGAATGTGTTTTTTTCCATAACTTATTTTAAGATGATGATCAAGTATACTTTCACCACGGAAACTCCTTTGGGTAAGGCCTGGAAGAGTTAGGAATCAGTTTTGACAATAGCTTGGAAGTTGAAGAGGAATATTTTCTTCATAGAATTTATGTGACCATCTCATCTCCCCCGACTGAGAATGAAGAATGCAAACATAAGTGCTACCCTATCAGCATGATCTCTCTGGCACACAGTGGCCAAAGCATAGCAAGGCAAAGAAAGTTCTGAAATTCCTACTGCCATTATTTCCTACTGGAAGGAAGAGAGAAAAATAATTCCTGGTAACAGCGTTTCTGTACTGAACAATTTGAAGGCCGCTCTAGTTCATTTTACTGTCCCTAGCATCTAGTCTGGAGCCTGGCACGCAGTTTGTTGAATTGAATTATTGAGTAGCTCTATGTTACAGATACTTTTGTAAGTATTAACTTTCAGGATATCCCTCTGGGGTAGGTAGTATTATCGCATTTAACAGAGGAGAAAAGTGAGGATTGGAGAGGTTGAATGACTTGCTCAAAGTCACATTAAGTAAGGGGTATAATCAAAGTTTGAAGTCAAATTTCCCAAGAACTTTGGATTCAGGGCTTTTGCCTCTAGGCCACAACTACTTCCCACTACTGTAGGAAGCTGGGAGCCCCTGTCCC